TCCCCTGAAAAAGACAGCCATACTGTGGAAGGACCAAATCCTGCACCATCTGAAAGACCGTGATTTCTGATGTTTCCATGTACATACCAACAGCTGCTGGTTTCCCATGGTGTGAAAGTGGGTATGGGTCAAAATGAAACCACCAGGGGACCGCAGGTTTTAGTCCACTTTTCCATTTACCAGGGCAAGCCATTTTGGGGTTACCCTATTTTGACCACCCACGTGGTGCGAACGGATTTCGCAATCATCCACATCACCCGCTCCCATCGTTCCCATCGAGGCTCTTGGCATCCTGAATGGCGAAACAGGGCCTCTCGGCACAAGGCCCCATTGTCAGAGGTGGGTGCGGTTCCTTTCCTGTTAGTTGGTACCCCTCGTTTTGGTCGCTTTTAAAGGAACACCAAAAGAAACACCCACCAACCTGTTTTATTAGTTGGATCCCCAAGCAGCCACTTTTTGTCCAGCCGCGAAAAACCCACATGCCCATAATTTGGCAAAAGTAGCTGAAAAATAAGGGCAACTGGGGATCCAGGTAGTTGGTACCCCTGGTTTTGGCCGGTATTAAGGGAACCAAAGAAAATCGACCAATTTGGGGCCCGTGGTCTCGTCGCGCGCAGGGCTTTGGCGTCAATTTGGAATTCGGGACATGTGGGACTTTCTAAGATTTAAGCATAAAGCTCAAACACGGTACTCGCTAAATGTCTTCTGTACTTAGGGTCAGCACCTATGTTGACCATGCATTTCATCTGAGAGCCTAAAGCCTAAAGGTTGCATGAGCCTTTTTCAAGATCATAGAGGTCTGCTCCGAGTTCTCCAATGCTGTCACTTTCTCTTTTGCGGCAACTAAGTCTGAGTCGTTTGTTTGTTTTTGTGCTTTTTTGTTGCTCGTCGTGTTCATTGCCGGACTTGTTGTTCAAAGCGAATCGACCTGAAATGACCTTTTGGTTTTACAAGGTTGGTCCAACAAAAGAAACACAGTAGTCACAGATTCGCTTCACAACCAACAGCCAAAACACAATATTAAGCAAATGGAAGGCTTTTGGTGATTTCGGGGGGACATCCCCACTATTCCCTTTCTGTTTTGGCTCTCAGGGAACCACCTTTCAGTCCAAACTGGGCATCTGAGTTGTTTCACCTGCTGAGCTGAGCTCTGGAGTTCGGCGTTCGAACCCATGGGAACTCGCCATACTGGTTGAAGGAACGAATGGAACATGGAGATATCCCCGAAATCACCAAAAGCCCATTTGCTTCGAATATGTGTTTTGCCTGTTGGTTTAGAAAGGGAATCTATGACTACTGGATTTTTGCCCAGAGGACTTAGGCAAATGGAGGAAAGCCTTTCATGTAAGAGGCATCCGTCTCCAATAGACCTGGGAGTCTAACTTGGCACGTCTGACCTGCAAAAAGCGTCCTCCAGCATCTACAACTGCTTCCTGAGATCTCACCCCAATATCAAGAGCATCAACGCTTAGAAGCATGTCAGCTCTGGCCGAGGATCGACTCGCGGAAGAGCAAGCGGATGACGCAGATGGCCAGCAAGATTTCTCGCAGGACAGACACGGCATGGCAAAAAATGTCTCTCCGCTTTTGGGGCTGCCGGCCTGAAGAAGCGGTTCCTGCACTTCAAGCTTTCTAGAAACATCATCTCAGTGCCTGGTGTTTCCCAGCGTCCGGTTCCTGGGGCTTGTAGTTGTTTTTAGTTGGTTTGGGCTGTCCATTTCACCAGCCAAAAGTCTGTTTTTGAGTAGGGGATCTGAGGACAGCCCAGAAAAGTGTGGACTTTCTGTCGGCCAATCCACTCGATCCGAAGTGAGTTGCCTGAAGAATCCCTGGCAAAACAAGGGACCTAAAAGCCGACGAGGGTGGATTCCAGCCTCTCGATCCATTTTGTCTGGCGGGTTCAGCGAACGTTATGGCCCCACACAGGGTTCCGGTTCCATTGGTTTTCCTTTTGAAGTCAGGCAACTGGGAAAGTGTAGGAGGGCATCAAACAACAGGGTGCATACTGCGGATGGCTGAAATCCTGCACTTTTTGAAACCTGAGGTTCCCTAGTTGCCCTGAGGGGCGCGGAAGTTGGAAGTTGGAAGTTGGAAGTTGGAAGTTGGAAGTTGGAAGTTGGAAGTTGGAGGTTGGTAAGAACAGGGGAATCATCAGAAACCAGGGCTTCTTAGGTGGTGCAGAGTGCAGGATTTCGTCCATCCACGGCAGATCTAGCCGTACCCTCTGTGAATAGATCCGAAGGCTGGTGGTTGACGAGCAAGGGGAGAGTGGGGAATCAACATGAATCAACCTGAATCAACCCTATACTTCGAAGATCTTCACTACAAGAACCCTCAACTGCCAAAAAGAAATGGCAATTCACCCATCATCATCTTTGAGGTAAGCCATTTTTCAAGTTGGATTCTTTTTCGGGTTCGGGTACCCCGTTTTTTTTAGAGGTCATGATACAATTATCCTACTGTCCAAGCTTTCGTTTTGTCGGTTGGAGGTACCAGCAGAACCCCCCCAGGCCTGAAAGAGACACCCAAATCGTGGCATGTCTTGTTTGGGGGGGCAACAATTGTACCCACAAACAAAGGTTCACCCCGTAATGTTGGGGCGACAACCCATGTTTAAGGGAATAGTGAGGGTTCAGGTACCCATTGCTGGATTTTTTCAGGGAAACCACCAGGAGCAGCCTTAGGAATCGGGGTCCGATTCCTAAAGTGGGAGAATCCATGGCCCGAGGAGCACCAAGGACAACGAGTCGCGTCCCCGGTTCAGCTCGGAGGAGGAGGGCATCCGGAACTCTCCACGGAGGCCGGCTCGCCACTGAGCAGCGAGGGTTTCTGAAAACTTTGTCGCATTTTGCCAAGGGAGGTTGCGACTTTGACTTGTTGCCACCTAATGGGTTTTCCGTATTAAACCACTAAACGTTCAACGTTTAGCCGGGGAGCGGAAAGCAACCGAGTTAAAGGATATATTGCTTAAGAAGAGGAATACGTGTCTTTTTGTTTTACAAAATATATTGAATAAGAATAGAATAATAAGGATATATTTTTTACATTATGCATTGTTTTTTTGTTAATATTCCATTTGCTTAAGACTCGTTTATATTGTCCCTTCTAAAGCGGCTGGCAAGGGTGATATTTTGCAATCCTCAAAGGACCCTGTTGTGGTTTTTCCCATGATCCGCTTCCTGCTCTGTTGTCAGTTTCCCGTGATACCAAAATCCTTGTCTTTCCAGGTCCTTTGGTGCAGTGAGGTGAGGTGAAGCCAATGTTCCGCGATTCCAATCGAGACAACATGAAGCTGACAAAGTAGTCAAAGAAAGGTTGCTGCAATAAGGGGCCCGGCACCATTCCCTCCTTTAGCTTGTAAAGTGCCGACGCGCGATGTTGAGTGAATGCTCATTGCAGCTAGTCGCGCCAGGAAAAAATATTCGGTTTGGATCGCTTTCTGTGTAGACTGCTTTCAGATCCCAATTGATTCAATAATTCGTTGGCCGAGCCATGTCTTGCAGCCTCAACCAACAGAAACCGGACTTGTTTGGCTCGGAGCGAGCTCAACACGACGTTTAAAAAAGCCAACAGTGTCTCAATGCTTAAGACATCCTCATTGAAGTTCGGAGTTTCAATGGGAGTCCTTGAACACAACTTGGAACCTGATCTAGAGTTGGGTATGGGTCATAATTAAACCACCAGAAAATCCGCCGGTTTCATTCTTTGGTTCCATTTATCAGGGTTCCATTGTGGGTACCTATTCTTGACCCACGGCCAGTTATTGTTGTCGTTTTTTCAGAATGGCCATGGAATATGGCTGATTGCAAAGTTTGCTGCCCCGCGGTCCCTCTTGGACGTCCACCCCCAAACCACCCGACCTGAAAATCGTCGTTGACACGTTCTTTGCATTGGTCATATATATATATATATATATATACATATATTTATACAAAGTCCCTTGGGGCTAGGTGGTACGTTTCTTTTCTTTTTTTCCAGTGGAGGCCCTCTAAACAACCGACCTCCTCGTTAGGTCATTTGTAGCTCCCACAATCCCTACTCTGGAAGTCAGTTTCGGGACTTTATGTTTTTGCGAAGGCTATTTTCGTTGCAGACAAACGGTTCAGACTTTGTTTTGCCAATCCAGACATAGAAATCGAAACTTTGTAATTTGGAACATGGGTGACCACGCAGCATGTGCAGTGACGCAGGCATCGTGCACACGTATTGTCGCAGGCTTGCTTCCTTTCAAGCCAATACGGGAATACACGATATGTGCAATGCAAATTTACGTTTTGACCCATTTTTTGTTGTGGGCCCTTGGTACCTCATATTGCGGATTTGGAAACTTGACTTCCCCTTTCAAACCTAACAAAAACAAGGATGGAGGACAAAGGGGCCATTTGTCATGATCCCAAAAGGTCCTTTCATTTCCATGTTTCGGAGCACTGTGGGGCCCGGGTGAATGAAGCGCGAGCCATTTGCCGCAACCGTATTGCAGAAACAACGCCCAAGGCGTTTGCATTGAGAGACTTTCACAGGACGGTATTGTCTTGAATTGGGGACCCTTTGGAAATCATGTACACGGAGATTTGTGTCCGGCCATTTTGGGGTGTCTCCTCCATTAGTTGAAAGTAGATGGCACATGTTTGGCCAAGCTTGGTCTCATCATTACTTGTCGAAAGGGAGGGAACCATGGCGTGTATCTTTTTGAGGCTACCCTTTTTGGGGTGGTGTTCAAGGGACACCAAAGGGAAGACTACGTGACCATGGCACCTTGCCAGGGACGATGAGGCGACGGGAGGGCGAACAGGGAAGGTGCTGGACTCAAGCGGATTTTGCAAAACGCATCAGCAGACATAGTATGCCTTTTGTGTATAATCACACATGTTTGCTGATATGTTTATGTACACACATAAATATACACACTATCAGATGTGGGGTTGCTACCTTTTGAGGTTTTGTGCACAAGGGAACCAAAGGGAAAGCCACGATTCGGGGGCCTCCCTATTTTGACGCAT